TCCAGCACAACAATGAGTCCCCTCCCAATTACCATGCCCCCCCTCCCCATTTCAATGGCAGCCAAAGCAGTAGCAAAGCGGAGGCTGACACGATGCCTTTCAGATAAGAATGGATGGAATTTTCAGATATTAAGAAATAAGTTATGAAAGTCAGTTATTCAGCTAGCCTTGGTAGATACTTAGGATGTGAAACTTCTTTTGCTATTCCTTTGCAAAGTTATACATCAAGCAATGTTTCTAAAATTGAAAATTATTTCTCATAAACTAAAACTAGCACGTATCCAATTGCATAAATCATAAATGGTATAAATCATACATTCATTATATCATAGAGAAAACAAAGGAAAAAATAATAGAAAAAAGACAATGAGGAAACACTATGCATGTATAAACAACTTAATTTTAAGCACAGTGTTAAAACCTTGACCACATAGAGCAATACTGATCAATCTTTCCATGACATTGATGAAAAACCACTTTGTAAGCAGAGAACAAACACATATCATCAATCTAAGATTGTACATCTGGGTAGCCCTATCTTTCCATCACAGAAGCAATTTCTTTTGCTAGCTCCATGTTTAAAAAATCCATTATTCCTCATATAACAATTGATATGAAAATGATACTATATTATTCAAAAAGCCATTCACATCAGTAAACTATGTTAGTATTCCCCAAATCTTATTAATATATATTAAACTAATGATTATGGAGCAATAACATATTCCTAAATCCTCCTTCAATCCTTTTACACTTTTAAGGATTATAAAACTGACAACCATTTTAATTCTCTGAAATGTTCAATGAACATGGGAAAATTAATTACTCTTATTGCATAATCAAAAGAAAGATAGCATTCTGCAATCCACTTTTTGTTAATGAGGTATTCCAACTCTTTACATCAATTGTCTTCCAAATAATTAATATTCACCCTAATATTGCTTTTTAATTGTAAAAATCAATTAATTGTAAAAAATCAGTAGCTTTGGAAAAATATCAAACAATTATTAATTAAAGATTTTAGATACTGCTAATTTAGATATTCAGACATTTGGATTTTTACATAATTGGACAATTTGCATTTCATGTTATTTACACATTAAAAAGTTTTATTTGCCAATAGCCACTGCGACTAAATGAATTACTGTGCTACTGCACAATTTGACAATATTGTAAATAATTAACTTATACACAATCAGATTCTGGTGTTTCTAATCTAAAAGCAATAGAAAGAATGACATGTAAATGATAAATATATAATTAATTTAGCAGTTGTGCAATTTATCTTTCAGCTGCTTTCATATTTGTGATTTAGCAAAAAATAAAGCCACATATGTATATTAAAAGCTGGTGATTTCTAATTTGAATTTCTTGTTTCATTTCCTCTTATAATCTAAAGACTGATGTTCATGAGTATGAACCAGCAGTCACTAAAAGTGGCATTTCTTTCTTTTTCTTTCTTTATCTGTATTGGTTCTAGCACTTTTTCTATTTTTTCTTTATGTACTTTTTCTTGTTGATCTTTTAACTATGAAAAAACTTTCAATAAAAATTATATCTATATCTATATTCATATGAGAATCAGCAGTGCTCAGGCCAGACAGAACTCTTGTGCAAATTTTGGGAATATTTGGGAATATGCAAATTGCATATTTTCAAGGCTGAAAAAAAAAGGTGAAAGACAAAGCTTAAAAGACTTGTCTTCAGTTTTGTGTTTTAGCAGATCTAATATGCATGACTTACAATCTTCTCTGCACTTAAAGACCATTAATCCACTTTGCATCATTAGAGTTTCTCCTGTTAACTAGTTATTGAATGCAGGACTTAGTTTCTTGAGAACCAAGATTTATTGTTGTGAAGCCTGATTACCACATACTTTCCCCATACTATGTATAGTGACTCTATTAAATCTTCTTATTCATCTTTTTAAAACCAACATTATAGGTCAGCCTGCTGAACATTTTGGCTGGCTTTTTCTTTCAGTTTCCTGATAGAGACAGTTAAGATATTGAAAGGAAAAACCTTTTATATGGAATGCAACAGAGGGACAAACACTGGAGAGAAAAAAACTTATATACATCCTTCTTCCCAGTTAATTTTATACTAAGCATAGACTGCTGACTGGACAAATATGGAAGTTTTAATTGTTATGCAACTAGGTTAGAAAAATGGCTAAAAACCACATGTAATTGTCCTGATATTCATAATATAACAGATATTATATAATATTGCCTAATTCCCAGAGGGCCTAAGGACTTTCCTTTGGCACAAGAAAGATCGAGTCATCTGGAATTATTTATATTCACAAGCTGAAATGCAAATACACCTGTTCTCAGCTACTTACAGAAATCTCATTTATATGAAGAAGTATGAAGTTTGGATAATTGGGTAGTCTTCATGTGTCTTCTGACTGCTAATTCTAAGTATTAAGGTGAAGTATATGCCTTTTCAGAATGCCTAATAACTATCTAAATATTTTTTTTTAAAAACCTGGGAAGGTACATCACTATGTAGTGAATTGCAAACATACATTGTAATAAGGTTGTGTGAAGTTGAGACACATAGAAGCAGTAATAAAAGTGTGTAGTGTCCCCCCCACCATGTTTATATAGTACATTTCATGTTTATGTAGTGTATATTAGAGGTGGAGAGCCTTTGCAACAAAATTTCATTTTAATGTATCTTGATTAGTGTGGATTCAAAATGACAATAAAGTTTTCGAGCCAGCATATTGGCGGGCCCCAGAATCTCAGTTCCTGATTTAATCCAATCAACTCTAAAAAAAAAAAAGGGGGGGGGGAACAAATGGGTTAGCAGGGAAATATTTTCGGGACGTGCCCAGGACCACTCCTGTCCCTCATCCCTATCGTACTACCGAAAACATACACTGCTAGGCACTCGCTTCACCTGCCGTTTCGGGACTCGCGCCTAGGGCACCGTTTCGGTTTCCACGTGTAAAATTACTCGCCCCGCCGACCCTCTCCTCCGATTCCTCCCGCGGCAGCAGCCCGCGCCCGCATTCACCCGCTCGGCTGCCCAAATTTTCCCCCTCGGGTCGACCTTTCATCTAGCCAAATAAGTACGGCCGCGCCCGCCCTTTTCTCCTCAGCGTCCACCTCTGGAGCTGGAGGCGAGGCGGAGCTTTCACCGGCGGGTTTCTCTCCAAAAAGATTCGGTGTCTCCGCACCACGCCCGGTGTACGGCCAGGTACCTGTGGACCAGGTGCCGTGAAAAGAAAGAAAAGAAAGAAAGAGAGAGAGAGAGAGAGAGGGAGAGAGGGAGAGAGGGAGAGAGGGAGCGGGAAAGGTCGCGCGCCTCACCGGCCGGCCTCCCGCTCCAGAGGTGGCACATCTGGTTGCCCACGTGACCCGTCCGGTCCCTGAAATGCCGAGCCTGAGAAGACAGCTATCGCCATAACAACCAGATTAGAAAGGGGCGCCACAGCTACCCTCCCCACCCCCGATAAGGAAGAAATGCCGAGGGAGGAGGAAGAAGGTGCCGGGGGGGGGGTGATCGAAGGATGAGGAGAGAGACGCCAAGTTTCAGCAGCAGCTGATGGCTGAGCGAAGGCGGGGCCAGATGACATCCCTCCTCTTGCTTTGCCTGGGCAAGGTAAACTAGACGGAGTGAGCCAGCGGGAAAGGAGAGGAGGCGAGAAGGAACGCCGAAAGGAAAACGGGACTCGGAGCGAGGATTTGATGGGATCCGAATCCACCTGAATTCCCCGAGGGATACAAAGCAGAGCGCCGCAGAAGCCTTCCAGGCTATTAGAGCCCAGGCGGGAGACAGCTTCTTGCCGTTGGTTTCCCCATGACAGCCAAGGCGATGTGGACTTAGCTCAAGGAAAAGCATCATTGATGAGGAAAGAAAGACAAAGGAGATCTTAAGCTGAAGGGGTATCCAGAGAGAGGAGGAGGAAGGTCCGAAGAGGGGAGGGGAGAGACCAGCGCTTTCCTCCCCCACATGACTCCCTTCCTCTGACCCAGCACAACAAACCTAGAGCCTTCCAGTTCTTGTCACCCCCTTAGCTGCCTTTGGTGCCATGGGGAACAGTTTCTCCAGTATCCCAGCAATGCCTAGAGGCAACCCCAATCGCTTCCACAGGGTCCATCATCAACATCTCAAAGGTAAGAACTTCATCTGATCTAGAACTTAGTGTGTAACATGAAATGCTGACCGAAGCCCTTGAAAGTTTGAATATTATAGGAGTCCTCGGTCAAAGCTTATACCCAATTAAATATCAGTCTCTAAACCCACTGACCCTCCTCTCCATTCTGTAATACATCCCAGGATGGTTAAAGTCACCCGAAACCCTTCCCCAATAAGAACTTTTTTTTTGTTTTGCTTTCTCTCTCTCTTTTCTTTTTACTCTTGTGATAGAGAATCTTGTTGCAGAAATAGAAAAATCTCCTTGATTTCTTTGCTTGGGTTTGCAATCTTGTATCTGGGTATGTGGAAGTCAATGTTTTTTCTTGGAAATAAATCTCATTGGACTTTACTCCTGAGTTATTGCAGGGAAATGGGTTTATACCTCTCCAGTATCTTTCTTCAATTATGAATTGGGTGAATAACACATTAGGATGGCATCAAAAAGGAAAGAGGAATAACATGTCTTAAGGAACTAGGCGATATACTTCTGAATGAGTGTGCTACAGCTCCTGTTGTCTTGGTAACCCCAGAAATGTCAGCTTTTTGAGTGGGAGGATCCATTTTAGGAATAACAGATTTTATGTGCATCAATGATGTTTGTAATTCAGATTTGATTAAATATTACAATCCATTTTAGTTGCTGTTATGTTTAAAAATCTTCAGCTGGCACTATTGACATAATTCCCAATAGATTTGTTTACAAATCTAAATACCCAGCATATGAATCACCTGAGCTCTTTTAGTATACTGGACTCCTAGGCATTGCACAAAAATATCCTGTTGGGTCACAAAACATGTAGCTCGAGTATACTTATTCCATAAATTGTTTGGGACTAAATGGACGTCATTTATACAAAATTAAGTTATTTCTCAATCACGGGAACTGTCTTATTTTAGAAAGTATTTCCATCTATTTATCTATTTACTTATTTTGTTGAACGATCTAGAATAGCAGGTATATATTGTATGCATATTACATTCACTCATTCAGTTTTAAAATAAGACAACCAGGGTTGGCTGTTAAAAAGACGATTAAAGAAAAATGAACCTTCTGCATCCTGTGTTTTCAAATCTTTCATATTTGCACTTTGGTTGCTTCGTTTGTTTACAACACAAGATGAGGTGATTAGGTATAGGACAATGTACAGATTGACAATGAAAAATGTTTGAAACCAAATTATCTATTGTTATTTTAATGAAGCTCCTATGTAGTTTCAAGAGTATTTTTGTCTAGTTATGCAAATGATGGTCAAGAAGGCAATTCCAACATGGACTGAGTCAAAGAGAAATCAGGGCAAGCAATTGCTCTGTTTAAAATTAGATAATTTGGTTTCAAACAT